ATACTGCACTGTTTGTATTTGTTTGAAATATATTCAATAACCATTTTTACTTGGTTTTCTACTTTGGTTCTATAACATAGCCATGTAAATTAAGGCAAAAACACTATATTTAGGCTACATTAATGCACTTTATTGTACAAAACAAAGTCTATAAAAATGGAGGAGCTGGTGCTAGGAAATTTACAATAATAAGCACAAAAACAAATTAGAGTAACACCATTTATACACAGCATGAGGAGCCTGATGACTGAATTGTTCTCTCCTACCAATAAAAATACAGCAATTCTAATCATATATATTACCAAAACATTTATAAAATAATTTGGACTGCTAAAGACAGGAAATTGCACCCTTCATTTCAAATACAGATATGCTATATTTAATGGTTGTAAATTTTAAAGGAATAAATGATTCCAGAGCATATAAGAGATTAAAGCTAAACATCAGCCAAAATTTAAATATAAAGTTTGGGTAAATTGATATTTATTCATTAAAACATGTATAATTCTGTATAGCCAGTCTTATGATTCACACACCTCTGTAATGTGGCATAGACAGGAGATCTCATTTATCCATTACATATAATCAATCAAGGCCTGTTTTCCTCCAAATCCTCAGCCAGCTGATTGGACAATGAAGGAGCACCATCAAAATGATTAAGTCAACCCTGTGTCCTTCACTTGTAGAAGCGGCATTGGCTCACAGTGCTGAATTTCAATACATCACTCAAGTTCTAGAGTGCAAGGGCTAATGGGAAGGATAATATCAAGACTGTTCTCAGTCATTTTAAACACTTCAAACAGTTTTAACAAATTTTTTTTTTTTTGTTTATTAACCGTCGGAGTTTAAACTTGTTCATGGATACTGTTGAAAAAGTCACCCATTACAGTACTACACACAATCCTTCTTTAGAACAGAGGTGAATCGTATCACCCTAGTTAGGTAGGTATAAAATATTTTAGTTTATTATGAATTGATATTGATTCTTCCTTTAAAATACTCATATAAGCAACCGCATGGCTCAAACTGCATTAAATCGGGGATATATAACGTTTATACAAGTTATTTAAAGCTAAGAGATAAAATATAATCTGTTAGGCTTTTTGAAAGAGCTGTCTTTGTTGGAAGTTCCCTGCTCTGGTTGTGGATTTTTGATTCCAAAAAGAAATGCAAACTGGTAGTTCAGCAAGTACATGCAAAGTTACTCAACAGCCTACTTTGTTTTCAGTTCCATTTACACATTGCACTCTTAAGATGTCACTTCTGCAACAGAGGATAACACTTTCTCCACTGGCAGTACTCAGTAATCTTGTAGGATGTGATACAATGTATACACATATAAATCAAAGATTGGGATCATGCTGAGGAATTAATACTATGGAAGGAACCAAGTTACTGCAGGGTATCCGTTGACCAGTGCAGAAATTTCACACTATACCAGACTTTAATAGATATTTCATTTTCTTCTAAATGCCGTCCTCAGGGACCTCCAACAGTACAAGCCTTCCATATTTTCAGGCAACAATGCAATTGTTTAAATACACTAAAAAAGTTAAACTTATGGCATCAAAGAGATCAAGGAAAACAAGCACCATTAAAATATATCTAGAGCCCAAACTTTTTTTTTTTCATTTTAGAGCATGGATCATTTTTTGCAAGCTGTGCCCCATAATTCGCTTCATGCCCTGTCTTGTAGACACGACAGGAAGTAAAAGAGATCTCTCTAATGTCAAGAAAATGCCCCCTTAGACAGTTTTTACTGAAGCTAGTTTCACCATTGAATGATTTTTCCCTTTATTCTTGTTCTGGTGACAACACAAAATGTTGGATTTTCCTCCACTTTCAGGGCCAGTGACAGTAGTCACTGGGATAAATGAAGAGAATGAATCTCCTTAGTGGTGACAAGAAAAAAACCTGACTGGGGTTCAAATCTCTTACCACTCTTTCCATAACTAAAACAAGGTCTTGGCTTTAGATATACCTTTATTCTAGTAAAGTATGACTTGGCAAACAATGCACTTCTCTGTCGGTGATATGGTTTTTGATTATTATACAAACATATTTTTAAAGTGATGTATTAACTGTACATTCAGTTATTTGGTTCATTTGACTGCAAATACTGTAACATTAAATACATTACCTCTTTATTTAAAAAAAAAAAACCTTTTTGATTTTCATGGACCATTTCTGCATATCTGAAGAGACAAAGATCGTAGATCACACAGTGCCTGCGATAGCTTATATTTTAAATAATGTAGATCAAATTATACATACACATGGAACAGTTTATGATTATTGTATTTATGTTTGCATCAATAGAATTTCACAGTACCAATTTTCCTCCAATTTATGGATGAGCTCCAAAAGAAAAAGGACCAACAACACTCATAAAACATTCCATCCAATTAATCACAAAAGCCTTATATAAGAACATGTCACACCAGCTCTCATAAACAATCCTGTAAGGGAGATATAGGTGTCAAAAGTTGCAGATAAATTTACACACATTGATAAGGCAAAGGTTCTAAAGTCCAGCTAATAAGCTCCTATTTGGATAGGTCAACAAAGAAGAAATATCCAACTTGTATCTTCTTTTTTGAAAGAGCTGGCAGACAATCCATCTGGTATCCAGCTGCCCAATGCAAGTGCAGTAAATGGTGTATGATTTTGCAAGTAGCTACAAGAGCATCATGTAATGATAGCGATAATGGTTACAATGAAGCTCAAAGCTTGAAGCTGCAAATGGCTGTTCAGTGATTACACAAAATCAAGTCAAGTTTGTGACAGATATACTCCGTTAATGTTTGTGGAGGCTTGCACAGCAACACAGGGCTTAATTGGCATTTGGTATAAGGATATTGTCACTCCTAAATTACGCATTCGTTTTCATGCTGTTATAATGGCAGGTAATCACCTTCCAGCACAAAGCAACCCCTTTCTCCTCAAGTCTAAATACACCTGCTACAATCTGCTCCCACTCACACAGGTAAACATACACATATAGTCCCAGCTTGGAAGGGCCTCTAGTAGTCCTGGGTGTACAGCTCTGATGCATGTGGTTGCTTACAGTGCAGTGCCTCCTAGACAGAATGTACAGCATCTGGACAACCTGTCCCTTCAAGTCTGGAGCCTGTTGGAGACTAAACAGGAACAATAAATGGCATCTCTTCTTCCACTGGTCCAAAGACCTCCAATAGTGCAAATGGTGCCATTGATCCCTCAACTATCAAGAGGGATCTCTTGAACCTCTTTTACTGAAGAAAAATCCGTAGCAGATCTCTCCAATAGCAATAGGCCAAAACCAAAAGTCCATGATTTTCTTCCCTATATTAATGAAATATGAAACACGAGTAATGTCCCTTCTGCTCACACTGTCATTCCATACATGTACTAATATCTGAAATGTTATTGCTCTTTTAAGATTTGCTGTAAATTTGTTCCTCTGAACTTTTTTTAAGTGAATTGTCTGCAAATGTGTAAAGTACCTGTACTTAAGGCATACGAGTACATGTTTAATGTATTTCTCATGGTGAATCAATTTCTTCCTAGTATCACTAAGAAAATGACTGTGAAGGATGAGCTTGATATTGTACCACGAATAAGGACTGCAAGCACTAGCTTATCCTTAACTATTAATAACATTGCTGTCAAATGATTCAGTTCAACAGTCACTACTTCTATGCTATCATTGACCAAACAGGAATGTATTAATGAATTAAAGCTATTATATTTCAAAACCTGGAACTTGTTTTTTTTGCTAATAATGGAGTGGTGCAGCATCTATCTAACGTGTGTATGGTGGACAAGAAAGGATAGAACTGATTTAATGGAATACAAAATTTGCCAACAACTAATAGTCACTGTCCATTTTAACAGCAGCTAATGTTCATGTCAATAGATTTATAATACTGATAATAATGATCAGAGTGCAATGAAATTAAAGTATGTTGGCATATGTATGATGCCTACTTGAAATGTCACTGGAAGTTAAGATGCGTTGGCAATCTCTGGATTTCAAAATGTGTTTTCTCCAAAGCAAATTATCCAAAGCTTACTTAAAAAAGGGAAAGATAAATAACAAGGAACAACACTCAAATCTGATGTTAGGCCAATCCCTGAGAAGCATTAACACCAAGATAATTCAGACTACCTTGTGGTTTCATACTCACTGCACTGCTAGAGGAAGAAAATCCAGGCCAAGCACTAAGCTTTTTTTGTTTGACAAAGTACCAACAGTAAATCATTTTCAAGTCTTAGGCTTACCCTAACTAAGTGTGGACACTGGTCTTTGCCACTGGTGAACATGCTTTTCACATGCTAAGTAAAGCATATGACTTAGATTCAATGGAAAGGACAAACAAGCTATATGATTAGCCAAAAGAGATAATTCAAGGGGCCTTTTATTTAGTCTATGCTTTGCATTTTCTATTGCACAGAGCAGTTGATACAGGCAACAACCCCCAGAGCATATATTCTGGAGTCATTCCTTTAAAGGAAGAGTTGCTAAACATCATAGGCAAGAGGGAATTTCCAGTGATTACAGAAGTATAGAGCAGTTATGGAAGAGGCAGTGAAACATAAAGCACAAAGCAGTTCATGCTATGTACTTGAGAAAACATAGGAAGTCACTTACAATTACAAGCAGCTGTCAAGTGCAAAACAGATCTTTTTGGCCCCAGTTTGCAACCAACAACTTGCAAGCATTTTAATGATGCAGTAAAACCTTAAAAATTAATATATCTCCTTCATACCTTTTACATTTGCAGCTGATTCCAGTAAAAATAGATTATCTTTCACTGCAAACTGCCTTGCTGTTGGCAGGTCTCTGATATCTAGTGCAATATGATACATCATGACTTGAGCTGCCACTATACTTGTTTTTATGAGATATTACACAAGTAAGGACCCAAAAATATGTGCTGTCATACTGCCCATGTCTAAAGACAATGGCAGTCATTGCAAGAGCTTAACTAAATGCAGAATTTGGACATATAAAAGTGTCATATCTCTAGCTTCTTAACTAGGGTTTGAAAAAGGAGTGATAGTACAAGTACTGCACTATCCCCAATACCAAAATTTGGTCTGCTTGTACCCTTGAAAGAAAGAAAGAAGTTGAAGATAAGTAGGTAGAAGAAAAAGAACCAAAGTCTTAGGAGCACCCACAGCGGTCTACAACCATTCCAGGTATCTTGCCATAAAATAATTTTTTGCTTGTCATTAAAATACAGCATGTTAATGGGTGACATTTTGGTTGGGGTACAGCACGGGCCAGCAGATCCCCGTGGATTTGCTTGTTGAACAAGATGAGTGTGGGGATATTTTTGCATGAACATGTACTCGCATTGGCCAGAACAGTAGTTAGCTTTGTATCGTTTTGGAGCAATAATCCAGTCCCATCCAAAGGCCTCAAAGTCCACAGTTAGTGGATATCGACAGCAGCGTGACTCAGTGGAGTGTTCATCACAGTCAAGACCTAGGTTTCTCCTCGATCGCTTGTTGTTCTCCATCACACGCAGCTCTATAAATGGGTGCTGCAGGAAGAAATGAGAAATGACATGGCCTCATAAGCATGGAACAGTATAATGCATGGAAAATATCAAGGTTGCCATAACTCAAGTGCTGAATATATCACAAAACTTGTAGAGTACGATTTTATATTATCACAGTGAGGCTACTAATAAAACAATTCAAACAGCCTTAGTTTTTGGAAATCTTCTTGAACTAGCACTGAATTCCAGTCTTTTTGGCACATTTTGTAAGGCATCATCTTTAAATCAAATTACCTTATACTTATATTAAAATGTATCTAAATCTTTTGCATAGAGTAGGGAAGGATTAGAACCTTGGTCAGATTTTTATTTCTGTCTATGACCCCACTGTGGAGACTGACCCTCTTAATTTTATCCCAGTGTCCATTATCAATGTGATAGGAATAGACAAGGCATTTTCCAGTAGGGACATTTGTTCTGGTGACAACTAAGAGACAATTTGCCCTCACTTTAGAAATTTTCTTCTCACTTTCTGTTGGGTTTGGGGTCAGGAAATTAAGGTAAACCTCCCCTCTGGGAGACAGATAGCAACAACAAAAAAACTAACAAGGATTTTAAACTTTTCCTATTTTTTCCAAAAATACTAAACACGTTTTTGAATGTAGAAATACTTTAATGGTATGTTTTAACTCAAAGGTCAATTATCAGATGAATATATAATTGTTTGAGACAGATAGAGCTTTTTTGATGGTAACCAATGGAATTTTTATTTTTTACTTGACAAGGAAAAAAACTAAAAATGTTAAAATGTTTTCATTACTTTTTGTTTAAATAATAGCTAATAAAAAATGCCAAGACATTGCAAACACTCCTGAAATTAACCTTTTTTATAAAGTAGATGCCACTTTTTTGGAAGAAAAAAAAATGCAGGTATTATGGTACAGGTCACATACAGTAGGAGGATGGAGATAAGAGAGTTAATGTGAAGGTCGGGGGGGGGGGGGTTATATACAGAGGAGGAGGGGGTAAAAGGGGTCAAAAATGATCCCACAATTTTACCTCCCTCCTACCCACCCTGAATCTACTACTGTCTACTACTGTCTGTGCTCTGGAACTAGTAAATTATTATTCATTCATTAGTTCCTCCTTCCTTCCTTGTGAGAGGACTCTCCAATGCAAACAGTAGGAAAGTTCACATTTGTGATCATTTGGGCATTACAGCAATCACATGGTACAAATCTGTCCAGATCGGCTATGTACAGTGTGTCTATTATTAATGGGTACACTAGCTACCTGAGATCTACTTCTGGAGTACCATTTATAAGCAGCATTTATAATAGAAGCCCACCTCTCTGTTGTTTTTTACAATAAGGTGGTAGGAAGGTAGTGAAAGTGTGTTTTTCATTTGTGTACGATGTGTGTTCCATTTTCCAGCCCAGAACCCAAGGAATGCATTTCTGTCTACTCTGTAGCATAATAACACTTTCCTTCCTTCCTTCCAGTAGCATTTTAGGAGCATTTTAGTAGTGTTTTGGAGCGTTGCCATTTTATTAGCATTTTTACAGTACATGTAGAGGAAAAAAAATCTACAAAAAGCTGTAAGTAGCATTTTAGTAGAGCTCAGCAGTGTTTAGGAGCGTTTAGCATTTTTTCTGCTGGAAAAAATGCTCCAAAACACAAAAACAATTTTTATTCTGCTCCTAGATGCTGAAGCTGAAAAAATGCTAATAGCCTAAAGCAGTGTGCCTGGACACATAGGATAACACTATTAGGCTTCTAGGAGCAGAAAAAAAAAATATGCTGATAACAGCTTCTAGAAGCTTAAAAAAAGCTAGTGTGCATGCAGCCACACTGCTGGTGTATTTTGCTGCCTAGGAGTCCCTGATGCTGCGTGAATGTGTGGAAGAGGCTGTACACAGGTCTTAACCACTCCCAACCGCGCTATAGCCGAAGGATAGCTACAGCGCGGTTGTCTAGTTCTGGGAGGATATCTATTTGTGCAAGTTTGGTTAGGTTTAGGTTATTAGATACACAGATTCATGTTCATACAGTGTACCTTCCTTATATGGAACATATAAGTGAATCATTAATTATAATTTTATGTTAATGTTGTGTTTGCTACCAAACGAGCAAATGTCTGTTGATTATGGGTGTCCATATACTTATGGAAATTGCTAATAGCTTTGTTTGGATTACTTGACCAATCACTGTATGTCTGACTACCTTCTTAGTTTGTTATTTGTAAAGTGCCACTAATGAGGCTGTGTGTTTAAAACTTTAAAATGCAATAAAAAAAGATCTGATTATCTGATTAGAAAAAAAAAAAATTAAAGTACCTACCAGCCCTTCTGCTCCAGGACCAAAAGAGGTGACAGCAAGGTCATTTCCATTTGGGTCAAAGGCATTGATTTCAATACCCCAATTGTTGTGTGGTTGTTTGAACCAATTCTGCAGTACATGCTTGAAATCGATGCTTTGCCAATGGCCCGTGCGTGAGTGCAAATCAATCTTCAGAGATCTAATTCGAATGTGCTTGCTGCCTTCATCCGTTACAGGCTTGAGACGTAGAATTTGAAGGTAGACGGTGGAGGTGTGCTGCAAAGGTCGCAGATATACCCATAGCTGAGCTTTTACCACCTTGGTGAACATGATTTTTGGACTGAAATTAAAGTAGCAGCATATAGGACTTCCATCCAGTCTCACCGCTGGCTCCGCTGAAAGTTGAAAACAGGTTACCAGAGTTACTAGCAGAATAACATTATATGCTGAAAAAATATTAGGAACACAAACAGACCACACTTAATTTTTTTAGAAAAACAAGCCTTTCTTTTCTTTTTATTTCAATAGTTAGTAATAGAACTAAAACACAAGTGGTAGCTTCAAACCACCAGAGCTTCTGCAGATGAACTGAAGTACCTACTATACAGTACTGCATGGTAAGGTTATTCACAGATGAAAGGAGAGGGGATTTTCATTTTGTATTAGGTTTTTAAACAATACCTTCAAAAACAGGAATGAAAATGGGAAATAATATATATTGGTAGCCACAAACTAGAAAAGAAAAAGAAAACTCGAGGAACTATTTAGAGTCAATGACGGTATTAAGACACTAAACAAAACACTATATGTATTACTGAGTTTATTTTTTTCTAAATTATAAAAGATTTATATGATCTAATGAATAGACTTCCACAACTTTACTTAGCAACAATGTGTAAAAGGCAGCAAAAGTACACATTAGCAGGGGTGGGGATTCATTCAACTGTTTAAAAATGTATATATATATATATATATATATATATATATATATATACACACACACATACAAGTCCTACAGGTCATGCATATATTGTACAAGACTGAAAGCATTTAAACACTGTTCTAAATGTGCAGTAGCACAGTAATACAATGCCACCTTAGCATTTGATAACCTCTATATATGTCTGCATGGCACCAGGTGTTAATGTGTTAATGACAAATTTAACAATCCCCCCAAAAAATTGGGGGGAACTCAGAAGGTAGTTTATATACCTATTTTCCAGCAAATTCCATGTCCCAAGAAATGGGAGTGAAACTGAACATTATTTTGTGTCGCATATAATATACAAAGAGTCTAAAATCTTGGCTACTACTCAAAAGTGTAATATTGCAACACTAACCAAATAGTCAACCCAAAATACCCCATGACTCCTATTAATCAGTATTGCTGTTGAAATGAGAACTGATAGACTGTACTTCAAATACTTGGGCCTTCTAAGACAATGTAAAATTGTAATGGAATATAATTTTCCAGCAGACTTTCCACTGTAAATATGAATATCACTCACCATAATAAAGCCACCTTTAAAAGCAAGCAATCTATTGTACAGGAATGGTAGACTAATGTTCTTTTTATCAGATTTTATTTTATTTAACAAAATTGTGAAACATAGACAAATAAACAAAAAGAACAGGACATGCCACATAGGACAGCAACCCCCCCCCCCCCAAAAAAAAAATGCGTACACTACAATACATGCCCATGGAGCATAAATAAAAACACCATGACCATAAATAACTATGTGGACTTATATTGACCTACCAAGGTCAGACTTCACATTTGAACCCTATTTTTGCAATCTAAACAGTACAAATGTACCTAAAAGAACATTGGGATCTAGCTCAATACCAAACTGATATGCTTAAACCAAAGTGGCCAGATTGCCTTAAACCTTACTTGTGAGTTTTTAAGAAGGAAAACATGTTTTTCATAAGAAATACACCAATACATATCAAATGTCCATTCACACAGGGTCAGAGGATGCGAGAAAGTCCACTCAAGGACAATTTGTCTGCGGGTCACAAACAGAGCTTGTACAACCGTGATCCACATGGGAGGCTTGAGCACCAAAAAAAATCCACATAGCCCAGTAAACACGCAAGGCCAATTAGTGTACCCACAACCTCCACCTAGTACCTCTGGAGTTTGGGACAGCACCTTAATAAATGTATCAAGGACCTCGAATTACAGCATCTAAGACAGGCTGAATCTGTTCTTAGACTGATAGCACACAAGAATTCAAGGGTCTGATAAACCATATGGAGAATAAAAATCTGGGTTAACCCGTGTGAGGAGGAAAGTGGAACATGGGGAGAGCCCTAAAAATGTCATCCCAGACATTGTTAAGAATAAGCTCCTGCTCCCACTTTTCCTTAGAAAGGATAGCAAATTTATGAAGGAAACCTTTTAAAAGGGCAGTAGGTACCAGAGACAAAGCCTTTATTGGAAGTCACCTGTACCACTCTAACCAGAGCAGGCACAGTGAAAATTCTAACTGGGGAGAAAGAAAATTGAATGGTACACTCGTTTAAAGAGGCTGTCTCATGTGCACAGACACATCTAGGCATTCCCAGTTATAAACTGCTAGATGTGTATGAATAATGCTAGTAGGATGACTCCATCAAAGTAGACAAAATAATGAGCTGGCATTTAAAACTGTAGTTGGGTGTAAGGCTTTGAGCAAGGTTTGTGGCAACATTGCTGTTTTTAATATCACAACCAGATAACAGTATATAAGACCATGGAAAGGGAAATCACTGCCAAGTTACCTACATGTTCTTTAGTTAAAAAATGCCTGTGTTGCTTTCTTTTTTTCGGCTGAAGTTAAGGGGATAAACATTCATCTGTGTTCTATTTTTATGCTATTTAATAGTGTAGTGCCGGAGGAGACTGTGAAGGTAGAATAATGTTTCAAACTGGGGGTTAATAATTACACTTAAATGAAACAGATGGCTGTAGTTTTAGGTTAACATTTGAACTGAAATAGAATGATTAATTGCTATTTTTTCAAGACCATGTACAAATGTAATAAAAAATGTTATGCCTGATTAAAGTGCCAAAATATTTTAATATTACTGCTGCCTCGCACATATTAAATCAATTTACCTGTGACTGTGTTTGTTTTCTCCAGATATTAAAACTAGACTTAACATTCTATTTCTGATGTTAGTGCACACTCACTAGCTTTCATTTATCAACATTTTTTTGTCTGCAGGATTGTAAAGTGCTGGATTTTTATATCATATGGTATATGGTAACCAAAAGCTCATGTCGAAGCAAATGTGCATTTTCACAAAAACATAGAAAGATTGTTTTTTTAAAAAAAAAATACCACAAACCCCCTTCTCAACGCCTCTTCTGGGAGTGCAGACCAGTAATCCATTTTCACAAAAACATAGAAAGATTGTTTTTTAAAAAAAAAAAATACCACAAACCCCCTTCTCAACGCCTCTTCTGGGAGTGCAGACCAGTAATTCAGTGCTGCAGTCTGTGCCCGCCACTGATCAGTCCTTAGCACATGATGACATCACGTTGCTGCAGAATACAGTAGGACACAATAGCAAGCATGTATGTAACCAAAGCAGTGATGTGGGCACCTTGTGCTACTTTTACTCGTTGGACCCCCCCCCCCCTCCTTTCTAAATATAAGCACATACCTAAGATGTGCAATGCCTGAGTAGCTGATATTTTAGTAAACTTTGTAAAAATCTGATATATTTTAATTTGGTTGTTTGTGTACCAGTTCACTATTGGAGGTATATTCAAAGCCCCCCTTTTCTCACAGATATGATTTATTAAATGACTTTGGTCTTGGGCTGATACCTCCTTTAGAGCTCTGAATTATTAAAATACAACACCCAACCTTTAACTGATTTGTTTCATAAAGAAAATAAAGCTTATTCTACCCAATCCACAGTTGAGAATGGTGTTAAATAAATTCTCATGTCTCAGGAGCTTTTAAAATTCTCTGCATGCACCATGCTTTAGCATGGGTGGAATAACAGCTTTGCCTGGCTTGTGTAACCAGCTAAAGTGAGATACCACTCTAATCCTGCATACCCAGTGAATGCACACTCCTCTAAAGGTTTCTGGAAGTCCTAAAAAAGCAAAAACACTCCAAGGGGCCTGGCAGTATAAACTTCATTTTCCAAGGTAGGTGCAATTCTGAGGCAAGTTGGTCCACACTATTGCTTCTTTGCACATTTTCATTTTGATAGGGGAACATATAACCATTTGAGAACTAAATTTGTAACCACAAATGTAGTCTGACTCCAACAAATTTGTCCTTGCTCATAGTACACATGAGTTAGAGATAAACATTCCAAACCTATAAGGAACCTACAGATTTCTATCATTATCTATCTATTATATACCATCTAGAAAATGACTAAGCATTGACATTTGATATTTTTTAAACTGATATGGTGAAAATGCATAAAAGGTATGGTCTTCATATGCAGCAATAAATGAATTAATGTCTTACATTAGGGACCAAATTAAAAAGATGGTTGATTCTTATGTTACTTTGACAGTCAGTTTTTCAGCAATTCAAACCACTGTCTAAATCACCTGCAGATTGTGGTATAAACCTATATGGCTCTGAAACATATGTGGGGGGCATGCTGTTATCTACCTTTATTATGTGATTTCCAACCAAACCAATTATTCAAAAGGTTGGCTGGGTGATGTGGCTGCCTCCTTCTGTCTATAGATAAATTTGAAATCCTCACATCTTCATGTCATTTGTCCTTTTAGCACATATGCTCTCAGTTCCTTAGTGGTTAACTATCTGATGAACTATTATTCATCATCATCACAACTCTTTCAGTGATTTGCTAATATGATTCAGTCTTAACATTTCAGTATAGCATTTCAGTTAAACACAGAATTCTGTCAATAAAACTGCAAATATAAACTAACAGTATCACCTTTAAAATGTGTTTGTCATTAAGGGAGTATGGCTAGTGCCAAGGGCGGACTGACCATTTGGAAACTCGGGCTCTGCCTGGCCTGGGGTCAGTAGGGGGCCCATGAGTTGCCCCTGGTACCTTTTTCATAGGTTTTTTTAAGTTTGGGCAAGGACACAGGGGCCCCATGATCCCCTATTGCCCGGGGACCCCATGAGTTGTCAGTCCGCCCATGGCTAGTGCTGTTGTGGGCTTACTTCTGAAAACATGTATTGCATAAAAAAAATCCAGAGCCACTGGTCCAGAACAAGCAGGCATCAAAGAAAAGTCAGGTAACAAGTTGTAATTTCCTACCTCTACGCTTGTTGTAGTCCAGTGACTCAGAAAGGAAAGAAGCCAGTGGATAAGCAGGGTTGCCAGAG